TTCCACTCTGTGAAAAATGTTTCCATCTGAAACAGCTCAAGTGAGGCCAGTTCCTGAGAGACGATGCCAGATCGAGATCCCTCCCATTTGCAGAAATCCTGAAACACGTGGTCAGACTGGCGTTATTTTGCCGCTCTACATCCAGATATCCTCTGCTTGCCGCTGGCTGTCTTCTTCTCCTGAGGTTGCGTGGAGACAAATGGTTGGCCACAACACTCAAGTTCTTTTCTGATAGCACTTGACTGTAGGCCTTGCATTACAATCGTCCACGACAAACTGTACGTGCTTCACCAAGACACGCGCTGCTGAGCACTCAAATCGACTTCAAGGTACTGCGTCCGTGAGAAATTCTAGCTCTTTTCGAGCCTGCTGAGCTGGACTCGGCAAAGGCAGTTATTTGGAACAAGCTCTTTCTGTTTATAGCCGCTCCTTCTTTCCAGGTCCAAATTTATAAAATGATCAGTGTTTCCCGTTGTATTTCAGTATCGCAAGAGATGCTATGGCCAGAGCCTATGGCATAAAAGGAAAACTCCTCTTCGTCTGTTTGATCATTCACTTCGCGTCCGTCTAGTCTTCTCCGACATGGCTCTCCATGATTTCTAAAAAGAACTCCTCGTAAATCATTGTTACGGATTTTGCGACCAGCCTCTGTTGCAACGTTGGGCATGCTACATCTAATCACCTGTACTAGTACATCAGGATCTACCTGACTATGCTTTCAAATTTGAGTGCGGATGCAGATTTTCTCGCTCTGCGGTTTTCTTAGCTTATGTCCCAAGTATGTCTAGCAGTACCTCCAGGAGTTGCTGCATCAACCTTAGTAAGGATCTGGCGTCAGAGGACCATGCCTTCTTCGTCAAGCTGCTTCTCGGAGCAAGGGTTCGGAGCACGGACATCCGAGTGCCATTGATACTTTCAGGGCAGGAGAGGTACGTATAAAGTAACTCTTTCCTCGGTAGCTGGACCACCGACGAGCCCCTTGAAAGAGATTATGCCCAAACCACTCCAGCTGGCGGATGAAACCCCCAACACCCGTCTCTCCGCCCAGCGACGCCAGTCACACGACTTTCCCTTGGCATGTAGCCTGCCTCGCCGTTCCCGCTCAACCATGGCCAAGGCTTTCCTTGCTTGCGTGCTGAGCGCATGGAACTCCCTGCCTCGGAGAATAGGGGGTGGTAGTACTATAAGTATAACACAGTGCTCTATGACATCGCTACTCTACGTGGAATGAAACCAGAGCCAGAGTGGCAGAGGGCTCATAACGGGTGATAGCAAAGTGTGTGCGGACAAGAGCGGTAAAATATTTTGGGCTGGATACAGTGCGAATGGCAGCCGGGAGGGAGTTCCATGTGGCAGTGGTGACAAAGAGAAAGGTGGCACGGGTGGGTGTGCTGGCTCTAGCAGGTGGGAGTAGATGTTGGGGGCGCCTGGCGCTGTTTGACACTGAGTAGCCTAGGTCCTCCAGGGTCGTCATCTGGCTATTGATAAGGTGGTGGAGCTCAAGAAGGCACTGAATGTATCTTCGCTATGCGAGGCTGGGCCACTGGAGGTGCGCGAAGAGTGAGGCGCTTTCGGCCCCGTTTGAGGAGGGTACACGCCATACTGCCGCAGGATCACACGTGCCACTCTTGCCTGTATGTAGCCGTTCAAGGGTAGTAGCCTGAGCACTGGAGAGTTGAAATTAAAGCGGCTGGCTACGGTTGGGTGATACGCTTGGTCATGTGGATCAGCAGGACTGCTCGCTGGCGAAACTTTGTCGTGATGGTGGCGAGACTGGCGACGTGGTTGGTGAAGTCGAGGTTAGAGTCCAAGATGACTCCAAGGTGTCGGTGAGTCGTTACATCAGACACGTCATCTCCCTGCATTCTCAGGTGCGGAGTCGGATGAGTAGGGTGGGCACGTTCTGCACGACTTCTAGGAGAGAACTGCATGGTGCAAGACTTCGAAGTGTTGAAGCACCCTCCGACTGAATCAGCCCACTGCAGAACGCCATCAGTGGCGGCCTGGAGGGGGTGGACCATTTGTTGTTGGTTAGGTCCTCCGGCTGCTCTCCCAAGAGTAGTGTCATCGGCAAATAAGAGCACACCAGTAGTGACATCAGACGATATGGTGCGAGGAAGGGCATTAATGTAGAGAATGAAAAGAATGGGGCCCAAGGTGAGATCCCTGGGGAACGCCTGCAGAAACTGGGTGGGTCGACGACTTGGCAGAGAGAACTTTGACACAGAAGGAACGGTTTCTGAGGTAGTTGGTGAACCAAGAAACGGCTTCAGGGGATATGATAGTAGCGAGCTGACGGAGAAGAACAGTGTGCGGTACCTTGTCAAACGCTTTCGCGAAATGCAAGAATAGAGCGTGGTAGTCAGTGCGCCTGTCGAGTGCTTTAGCCACTCTTGAAGACAGGACAATTAGCTGATCGAGTGTCGACTTGCAGGAGACGAAGCCATACTGGTGGTCGGTAATTAATCCCTGCCTATTGAGGAAGCTGGTGAGGTGCTCGGCGATGATGGCGTCCAGAATCTTAGCTATGGCCGGCAGCAGGGAGATAGGACTGTAGCTAGCTGGCTCCGCAGGTTTAACTGGATGCAAGCAACCGACGCCTTGTAAACCTGCTACATGAACTTGCTGAACTAAGTTACTTGCTGAACTACAGGCTCTCTTTCTCAATCTACCCCCCACCCGCTCCCCCTGTTCTTTCTCTTTCCCTCATTTATCTGGTGCGTCCAGAGCGTGACGATGTCGAGACCAGTTGGTCGACGGAGCGTCTGGTAGGCCCAGACAGATCCTGCCGGCAATTCTTTCGGCAAAATATCGAAGAATTGAAAGAGCGGAAATTGCCGGCAAAATCGGAGCAAAATATCGAGATGTTGGGTAAAATCGATGCCTGTTTAGGCACCCAAGATGGCAGAGGTCGTATCTGCTCACGGGGAGACAGATGAATCCCGGGACATACCACCCTGGGGCCTAATAAATTACAACTCCGAGGAGAGGGCAACTTTGTCTATGGTTGTTGTTTATTTAGAACAAAGATTATTTAGAACAAAGAGGAAGAAATGTTTCATGTGCATGCGCATATCTGGTGAGGGAGCTGACGTCATGTAGGACTCCATGGTGGGACACCTTATCGAATGCCCCGGCCACGTCGGCAGCTAGAACTCGTGTCATCATGGTCTGCCTCCGACCCACGACCAGGCAGCACTGGAATGTGCGACTTTATAATTACTCATGTTGGAGACCAATGGAGTGAGAGGATCTAGCCTGGAGGAGGTCAGGTGTTCCATCCTAGGCCATGTCTACGTCTAACTATGAATGTGTCCCTATGGCCCTACACTCGTCACCCTCACCACACTCACAGTCAGTGGCTTGAGTGGGACTACATGTACTGCCCCACTACTGGCACTAGGCCACTAGTGGCACAGTACTGTCTGACACTAGCTAAATAAATACGAGTAGATCATCTACATGACTGTACTATAAAAGTACTCAGTAGTATTACATGTAGTAGTAGCGTTAATGATCCATCCAGTCCAGTACACCGGTAGATCTACACGGTGCCGCTAAGTTCGATCCAGTGAATCAACGCAACATCCAGGTGTTCGTAGGTCTTCTATCCACTGCGTAGTACTTCGATTGTACGAATCCATCAGCCCCGGACCCGGATTCGCCAAATTTGTGCATGTTCGATTGTACGAATCCGGATCCCGAGAGCACGGATTCGGATCCAGTCAACCCACCTCCCAGAGACGGATTCGACGGATTCGACGGATTCATTTCGATAGTACGACTCGTATCTACTCAAAACTCGCAATATGCGTACACTAGGTCAAGAGTTTACCACAACGCGTACAGAGATACTGCGGGATGAGCTGTAGCAACGCGGTTGCTAAGGCCTTGAAACGGATTATCGGTTGTGCACATTCGATTGTATCCGTCCGATCGAAGTGATCTGGTCGGCGGGGATATACCGGATCGATATCCAGTTTCTACAATCGAATGCAGCCTAAATTATTTGCGGAAAAAACTCTCGAAAACTTGCGCAAGAAATTGCGGCAGAAAGTAACAAAAAATGCGACGAAAAGTGCGGAATGATGCAGAACTTGCCAGGAATTCGCGGAATTATTTGCAGAAAATTGCGGATTTCTGTCCCCGGGGAAAATTGCGATTCCGCGGCCGCGTTTTTTCCGCGTTTTTTTAAAAGACCGCGTTTTCCGCGTTTTTTGAACTTTTTTGTTGCACTACACGTACACACGTACACAGTGCACTGTTCGGTCAGCTACATGTACGTCTCATCGTGGCGGCTTTTTACTCAAATATGACGAGTGCTTACACCAGAGACTTGTAACTGATTGATTTCACTACATACTCACTGAAAATTGCCGCACATCAATATTATTCACCGCATATTTACCGCATATTTACCGCAAATTATGCCATATTTTGCCGCGTTTTTGCGATTTTTTTCCACAATTTTCCCCGGGGACAGGGATTTGGGCCAAATCACGAAATTTGTTGCATCGTATATCTACTCCGGAGTCGTACTGTGTACATGTACATGTAAATAACCTACAGCAGTACAGGATCACGGAAAGAACTGCGTGAAAAGTGCATACAAATGTGAGATATAGTGCAGAAAACAACAAAAAATGCGGGAAATAGCAGATTTTGCTGAAAATCGCGGGTTTGGGCCAAAATCGCGAAATTTGTTGCATCCGTGGAATCGCGATTTCCTGGAGGGTCAGGGCGACCAGGCCTTTTTTTTATTTGCGCTCCTTCCCCCGCCCTGATCTCACATACCGATGTAAATCCTTTATCTCAGCATTGCTAGCTTTTCACAAAATAATTTTAGGATGTTTTTCGATGGGCGTCGATGCTGTCTCTTGTTGTATGGAGGATAGTACTATGCCCGTACAAAAGGCCTTACCTGCAACATCCATCACCAACGCAGCTCCGCACACTTATTAGAGCAGAGCTGAAACAGCTCGGCTACTTAGTGCGCAATATATAGTATAGTATTGTGTGTCAGTTGCAAAGACTTCTGGGGAGAATGAAACGACAAGGTTAGAATTTAAAAATACAACGAAACAGGAGCCTCTCAGAAGTGGCGGTGCAAGACAGTAATGATGACAAAGCCAGCAAGTCCTCGGCAGTGGGCACGGAACTGATCACTGTTTAAAATGTAATTCGGTGCAAACAAACCACGGCCTCAGTGACCCGGAGTATAGTCAAAGGGCATTGCATAACCGTTGTAACGTTACAAGGCTGCAATGTGATGGGGGACGGGAGGAGAGAGAGAGAGAGGGGGGGGGGGTAGCTTCTGCAAGAAAAAATAGGTGTGATAAAATCTGTTTGATCGTGCGATATTTTAACGGAAAGAAAAAACTTGAAATTCTTGTACGCTTGAACATGTGGTCAACTTGATGACTGTACGCATGTTTGTTCAACGGTGGTATCAAGTCACATACTCTCTCGCGCACAGATACATACACACATACAAATACTTCAGGTGCTGAGGTAATTTCTGAGATCGTGAAGGGATAAGCATGACCTGAAGAGAACAACTGGAGAGAGCATTCTATAAGTCTGGCCCATAAGGGAAAGAACAGACCTTTTGGAGCGCACATTCGTCCGGAATGGCATGACAATGCGTCATTCACACAACACGCTGAGCACTGCCAGCCAGAGTCAAGCTCATACATACAGAGCTGGATGCAGTGATGATACCTTCATCAAGATTCACATTTCAACTTATCAGGGCAGGTTGTGCGGGTAGCTGGCTGAATGCGCTGTTGCCGTACAGGATATTCTAACATCGTAACTTTCACAGTGCCCAGATAGTACAAAACAGCCAGCAAGTTAGCTGCTGTTCAGATCTGGAGGGCTGATCTGACGTTGCTGTGATCCACTAGTGGTTCCCATCGCTGCGGGCAAGCCAACACTGGGCATAGCACTCACTGCGGCGCCACCATTGTGATGGTGATCTGTGAAGTGTCCAGAGAGAATAGACAACAGAGGGAAACCAGCTGTCGAGATAAACACTTGCCAGTTTGCGATGGGGGGGGGGGGGAAAGATTCAAGTAGGGTGATACCTAGCAGACGGGGGAGAATGCAAGACAATTCTTGCCCAGCGAGAATGCAAGACAATTCCTGCCCAGCGAGAATGGAAGACAATTCCTGCCCAGCGAGAATGCAAGACAATTCCTGCCCAGCGAGAATGCAAGACAATTCCTGCCCAGTGAGAGTGCAAGACAATTCCTGCACAGTGAGAATGCAAGACAATTCCTGCCCAGCGAGAATGCAAGACAATTCCTGCACAGCGAGAATGCAAGACAATTAACGCCCAGCCACGGAAGCAAACACTCAATTCGGCCTACAGCTCAGAACATAAAATATAAACCATGTGGTCATGCATATACATGCACAGTCAATTTAGGGGTGAAACGGTTACCCTTTAAGGTAACAAACGGGTATCTGGCTTAACGGGCGGGTTATCGGGTACCCTTTATCCGCCATACTATTTCCAAAAACGTTGCATTTGCTTGGGATCGTAAGCGCAACATGTATTTTACAGGCATTCTGATAGGAGAGAGATTTTCGGGCAACAATTTGCTACAGTAGCCTTCCAGATTTCACGCCAGGAGGATACGCGAAGTCATGCAAGTACACTACATCGCGACGAGCACAGTGTGCACAATCACCTGATCACTGCGCTACATGCTAACAGTCAAAATTGTTGTAGCTTCAATGGATACCGTGATATGTAGCATGATTGAACCCGTACCCGGGTTACCCGGATCACCCCTAACAGTCATAGCCAAAGACATCCCACCCACGTGCCGAAAGCAGCGCCAAGGATCATGCAACCGCTGCGGCCCTCGGATCATTTTTGCGAACATGCATGATGTCATCGAAGTGGAAACGCGGCGCTACTTTTGACCGTGCTCGCGGGTTGGATTTCTATGCCCACGGCTGTACATGTGCAGGACTACACAATGTACAACTATTTTCATCGCACCACAGCTGACCTGGGGCAGTGCTAATCGCTCCGTCAGCAGTTGTAGCCACTGGCACAAACAAGCTTTTCATTGCAGCCATGTCACCGCCCATCTGCGATACAGGTCTGGACGGTGGCCCTGATGCAGGTTGTTGCCGAGAGTTGCTCATCGTATTCGCAGCCACGTTTGCATAGGTCAGTGCCTGCAAGTCCTCCAGGTTATTCACAGACATCTGATTGTTGGCAGGATCGTAAGTGCCTGCATTGGCATACTGTGGGCCAGACTGACCAGCAGAATTCACTGGTTGCTGCTGCTGGACCATATGCTGTTGCTGTTGTTGTTGAGATATCTGATGCTGAGATGGTGTAGGAACTGCTTGCTGCTGCTGCGCTTGATGAAGCAGCTGTTGCTGACCTTGTTGCTTTGGCTGTTGGTGCTGCTGCTGCGTCGGATGATGAACTTGTTGATGGTGGTGTTGGGGCTGCTGCTGCTGATGATGCTGTTGTTG